GCAGGGCAGGCCCTACGAGGAGAGGCTACGGGACCTGAACCTGTTCAGTCTCCACAAGAGAAGGTTGAGGGGGGATCTACTGGCCTGTTACAAACTAGTCAGAGGGGACCAGCAGGCATTGGGGGAGTCCCTGTTCCCCCGAGCACTACCAGGAGTGACTAGAAATAACAGTCACAAGCTGGCAGAGGGTAGATTCAAACCAGACATCAGGAGGTGCTACTTCAGTCAGGGTGGCTAGGATCCGAAACCATCTTCCAAGAGAAGTGGTGCTGGCTCCTACCCTGGGGGTCTTTAAGAGGAGGCTAGATGAACACCTTGCTGGGGTTGTTCTCCTTCCTGCCCCCAGTGCTCCTTCCTGCCATGGCAGGGGGTCAGACTTGATGATCTGTCAAGGTCCCTTCCGACCCTACAAACTATGAAACTATGAAACCAGGTCACATCTAAGCCTGCACTTTTCCAGGCTGAAGCGTCTTATAGCTCTCAGCCTCTCATCATAAGGCCTGTTTCTCCTGCCCTCTGATCATACGTGTGGCTCTCCTCTGGACGCTCTCAAGCTTCTCCACATCCTTCTTGAATTGGGGAGCCCAGAATTGAATGCAGTACTCCAGCTGTGGCCTCACCAAGGCCACATGCAGCAGGAGGATGACATCCTGATATTTGTTTGAGAAGCATCTATGGATTCTGTTTCTGTGTGTGTGTGTGTGTGTGTGTGTGTGTGTTTGTTTCTGTCTATGTGTTTCTGTTTGTTTTTGTGCATGTGTTTCTGTGTGCGTGCATCTATGTTTCTGTGCGCATATTTGTGTATGTGTGTTTCTGGTTCTGTGTGTGTTTGTGTGTTTCTCTCTGTTTGTGTGTTTCTGTATGCGTGTTTTTTTCTGTGCGTTTCTCTCTGTTTCTATGCGTGTTTCCATATGCACTGAGGTACACACACACACAGGCACATAGACACACACATCTTTCAGCCTCTCCTTATATGGCCTGCTCTCCAGACCTCTAACCATACATGTGGCCCTCCATTGGACTCTCAAGCTTCTCCACATCTTTCTTGAAGTGCAGTGCCCAGAACTGGATGCAGTACTCCAGCTGCGGTTTCACCAAAGGCCAAGCAGAGTGGGAGGATGACATCCTTAGTCTTGTTTGAGATGCACTGGTAGATGCATGCCAGTGTCTTATTCGCTCTGCCAGCTATGGCATCGCATTGGTGCTAATGTTCTTTCTGTGGTCTATCGCTACCCCTAGGTATCTTTCAGTTGTGGCGCTGGCAAGTGTAGCACTGCCGAGCCTCTAAGTGTTGTGGATTATTTCTCCATAGATGAAGTACTTTACATTTCTTTGTATCAAACGTCATCAGGTTTTGCTCCGCCCACCTTGCAAGCCTGTCCAGGTCAGTCTGTATCCCCAGCCTGTCCTCCAGCGTGACCACACTTCCCCATAATTTGGTGTCATCTGCGAACTTTGCCAGTACGCATACATCTCTCTTGGTCTGCGTGTCTGTCTGCGTCTCTCTCCACATGTGTGACACTACGTGTGCGTTTCTCTTTCTGTGACTGCATGTGTCTGTGTCTGGGCATGTGTGGGTGTCTTTCTTTGTCTCTTGCCTGCCTCTATCTTTGTTTCCCTGCCTATCCCTCTACCCTCCTCTCTCTGTCTCTCTGAGAGACAGACACAGACAGTCTCCTGTCTTCTCCCTCTCCTTCCAGAACCTGCCAGAGCTCTATTTCACTGCAGCAGGCAGGCACCAGCATCAGCTGTGGACACTGCCAGTAGGTTCAGGAGCTGGAATGCAGAATCTGCCAGCAGCATCCAACAGCTGATGCCAACACCCTCCCAATGTGGCAGCAGTGTAGTAGAAGCTCCAGCCCAAGTCCACAGCTGATGCCTGATGCTGCTGGGGCAAAGAAGTGCTACCTGCCTGCCCAGCCAGCACCACACAGTGGCTGGAGCTGCCAGCTGCCTGCAGCCCAGATCCACCTGCAGACCAGATTGAATCTTTTTGTGGGCCAGATCTGGCCTGTGGGCCATATTTTGCCCACCTCTTTCCTAGTGGTTGGTGTCAAGCCAGTGC